CAATCTAAAACGAGGCGGATGGATTATGGAATTAATTATGGATGGAGGGAGATGGACGAAATATGAAAACACAAAGGAGTAAGCGAGACGCGAGAAGCAAATACGGGAGAGTAGTGTCATCTGAATCTGAATCGCGGCTATGTACCTACAGAAAATGAACATTGATCTTATTAAGCCAGAAGAGGGCCAAAGACGCCAAAACTCATGAACCAATCAGAGAAGGGCAAAAGGATGGCAATACTCTCCAGTACCTAGGTCAAAGACACATAATCTAGATGTAGGCGAATTCTACTAAGGTCTCCGAATAAGGTTATCACCGGTGGAAAAGTTTTCGGAAAACAGAACGCGAATCTTGAACTTTCAGAAGTAATTATAGGATAACTATAAACCGCATAGCAAAGAGAGTTTTAGGACTGTTATTTATTTCTTACGCTAATTTGCATTTAATCGTATTCACAGAGACATAATGAGGTAATCAAAAAAAAAAAATAAAGTAAAAATGGCGTTTCGTGCATCGATGAGTTGGTGCGCCATTTGATCGCTTGAGCGCACTAGTATACTAGAGCTCTAGTGGCAGGTCGAAATCAAAAAGCGCCGCCTATCGGCTGAGCGCTTAAAAAGAATACCTTCATTTTCAAACGTTTATCGTTTTCGGCTGTTGCAGCCATGAAAGATATTGAAAAATGCAGATTCCTTCTCATGTTTCCCGAAATTCAAAAATTGTGATATTTTAGTGTGTTTGAGTGCGGGTTGCATACTCTAGCCCCTGGAAAATACGAAATATTTCACAGCCGCCTAAAATTTCGTGGAATATTTCGCTGAAATTTCCAATCTTTCGCTTTTTTCTCACATTTCATGCTGACATGTCAATGAAGAGGCTGTAAACCTCTTGGATAGTACAATATTAGTGAAAAGATTAAAAAGGTGGAAGACCTTTGAACTCCCGTCAAGATTTACTTTTGTAAGTATAAGTCTGTAAGGTATGAATGAGAGTGTGAATGGAGTGTGAAAGGAAGAATGTGAAACAATTAAACTAAAAACCTTTATGTTTTAATATCTCTAAAAATTTTACAATGCCTGTTTTTTTAGATAATCATCGTATTATCTAATGTTACCCGGTAAAATTAATGCAATTCGTTCAGTTTTGGTTTTAAATCATTTAGATGGATACGAGGAAATACTTGTAGTAGTTACATTATATTTAAATAAAATTCCTTCAAAAAAATAAAGAAGAAGAAGAAGAAGAAAAGAAAAAAACATTTCATGCCACCTTGAGTGTAAGATTTGCAGTCGGTCAGTCGGGCCATATTTTTTTTACCCTTACCAAGGGTTCGTCCATGGCATCAGCCAAATCGTCGTGCTCTTGTTTGGTTATCTGGACTACTTTCCTCTGCGAGTTTACCTCTTTACCATCACGCGTATACTTGTGCAATACCATGAAGTATTTTTGGGGCCCGTCTGGCCAATCCCAGTACACGGGGGAGGTCCTTCTGGAAATTAGAACCCCGCCGCAACCACCCACGCACCCCTTACCGGCGCATGTCTTGCACACCCTTTTCTTAGCGGCATCCAGCTGCTTCGCCAGGTCGTTCGAAATTTTCCTCGATTCAGTCAGCTGCCTGTCAAGTTCACCGGCATCTGTTCTCGACTTTGAAAGCTCCATGCTAAGCTCACCAGCTCGCTTCTTCGACTCTGACAACTCTCGCTTCAACTCTTCGAATTCGTCCTCCTTCTGTAAGATAGTGGCCTTAAGACCTTCGGCTTCTCCCGCAGATTCCTGTAATTTCGTCCTCAGCGCTTTGATCTCATTTGCCTTTGCCTCTTTGGATGCTCTAGCCTTTGCCCTCGCCCTCGCCAACGCTCCTTGGTCTCGTGCGGTTTTGGTTATGGCCGTTGTCAGTTCACTATTGAGTTTGGTGATCTCTTCCTTTTTTTTGGCCAACTGATGGGCCAGTCCAGCATTTGAGTTCTGTGCCTCGAGAAGCTGACCTGGTGAAAATAATTTATTTACGTCCCCGAAATTGTTTACAGAAATGAAAGCGAATGAAGAAAAAAATTATGAACATCGAGCTCGAGTTTTTTCGAGTTAAAGGAACGTTGTTCTGGTATCTTTCTTTCAACTTAAACTTAATGATAACGAAACTACGTTTATTTTCTAACTCAACTGACTGACTTTAAGTTAAATTCGCACGGATTTAACAAAAAAAAAAAAAAAAAAAAAAAAANCGCTATATAAGAAGAAAAAAATTTCAGTATGATACCAGCTAGCATACTTGCGAGTGCTCTCAGTGAAAGTGTTGACCGTAGTTGGGGTTGGTTCGGATATGCAACTAAACTAACTCACCGGCAAGGCGGAGGGTATCATGGGATTTGAAGGCGCTCCCTGCCACCCTGCCAAGGCCGTAATTTTGAAGATCTTTACTGATAAAGACGGTACTATTTAGTTGCGAGTTACCACAACTGGACGAGTTAACTCGCAGGCTGATTGCAATAGCCGACGATTGCTGGCTGCATGCGACATTTGGACTGCATGCATTTTGCAATATGGAGCTATATATTCTGGCTCATCCGAAAAAACATTTATGTGCTTGGGGAAATTAATGGCACATACGTTGTTTTTAAACCGGGCCAGAATTTATAGTTCCGAATTGCAGAATGCAGTCCATTTGTACTGTTGTACCCTCAAGGACCGCCGCTCACAGCTGTTTTCCCCAACAGTCAACCCACAATACAAACCCAAAGCGAATTTTCGCGATCGAATATCATTCACCGTTGAATGATATTCGACGATTGTGCATTTTTTTCCAATGATATTCGACTTCTTCGTTGGTCTCACCAGAGACCGTTGAAATCCATCAATTTGAAATTTCGAATTCACCTCGGGACTTGAATTGATTTTTGAATTGATGCAATCGATGTCAGAAACTTCATCTCTCACCAAAATTTTTGTTCTGTCATCTCTATCTGTTGTTGTGTTTTGTCAATTCAAGTCTGGTGTTTTCACAATTTCTGTGTTTTAGTGTTTCGTGTTTTCTTATTTTCTTCTTAATTTCATTTAGGAAAAAAATCTGAGCTCTGATTGGCTCCTGACATCACCGATCATCGGCATCACTCAGCACTGATCAATTCGTTTGATGAATGACACTCGATCGCGAAAATTCGCTTCCACTAACCTCCGATGTTCCAGCGTTACAACTAAAATTTCATTAAGTTCAGAATTTAAATTTTTGTTTTCGTGCTCATCCTTCATATTTCCTGTAAAGACATAAAATAGCATCGACTGCTGAATGTCTCTAATGAAAATTAAACATTATTGTGAATAGCAATGTGAAAATAAAGAAAATCGGCTTAGCCGTACCTTCCATGGTATAAATAGACCACATTTTGCAATTTGGAACTATAAATTCTAGCCCGGTTTAAAAACAACGTATGTGCCATTAGTTTCCCTGTGCACATTAAGTGTTTCTCCAGAAGAGTCAGAATTTATAGTTCCAAATTGCGAAATGCAGTCCAAATATATTTAAAAAATTAGCATCAGAGGCACCTTTCGGGCACTGCCACAAGCCCACACCACACACAACTCATTGGGTTTTTAATATTTTAGTTAAAGCATGTTCCTGCTTCGTTTTTCTTTGCTATGTGCTTATGTTATTACCGATGATGGGCTTTGCCCGAAGGGCGCCTATTATGCTAATTTTATTTAATATAGTTGTATCATGCACGATAAAGCGAAGCCGATTTTATTTTTTCTAATAAAAATAACTAACTTATTTAAGGTGATTCGTCAAGCTCAAGTGACGTGGTCGAACTGGCATGCGATATATCACTTCGATTGAGTCACGAAATATCGGTCGATTTTGATTTTTTAGCCAAAGAATGGTCAATAGCTCCTGCGCATGAACCTAGAGAATCATTCTAAACCCAAAAATCAGCGAAATTCCGAGAAATGAAAGCAGAATAGTGTCAGGAAAAAAATCTCGCATTCGATTCAGCTATCGATTTCTGTATCGAATGCGAGGTTTTTTTCCTAACACTATTCTGCTTTCATTTCTCGGAATTTTGCCAATTTTTGNTTGGGGGGGGGGGGGTTAGAATGATTTATTAGCTTATATGCAGGGGCCTTCGTCCTTCCTTTGGCTATAAATGCAAAATTTGCCGAGATTTTGAACCCGATCGATGCGATATATCTCCTAACGCTATTCTGCTTACATTTCTCGGAATTTTACTGATTTTTGGGTTTGGAAGATTCCTGAGGCCAAAAAAAGGACGATAGCCCCTACGCATGAGCCTAAAAAATCATTCAATCCCCAAAAATTGGCCAAATTCTGGGGGAGAAAAGCAGAATAGAGTTGGGAAAAACCTCGCACTCGATACAGAAATCAATAGCTGTGTCAATTGCGAAGTTTTTTTCCTACGACTTTACTTGGCTTTCAGTCCTCTGAATTCAGCCATTATTTGTGTTTAGAATGGTTCTTCAGGCTCATGCGGAGGGGCAATCGTCAGGGTGCCATGAAACGTAAGAAAGAAAATAAAAGATTGGAAATTTCATCGAAATATTCCATGAAATTTCACGAGGCTGTGAAATATTTCATATTTTTCAGGGGCTAGAGTATGCAACCCGCACTCAAACATACAGAACTAGAAGAAAGTCGCAATTTTTACACTTCGCGAAACATGAAAAGGAACCGGTATTTTTCAATATCTTTCACAAATTTCTAAAATTTAAGGAAATATCTCACGTGAAATTTCAAGCTTTTATTTTTCATGAAATTTTGCCACTCTGGCTATCGTCCTTTTCTTGCAACAAATTCAAAATCGACCGAGATTTTTTACCTAATCGATGCGATATATCGAATGCCAGTTCGACCACGTCACGCGAGCTCGACGAATCACCTTAACATTCATAGTTTGTGTTAGAGTCCCTTTATACCCAGAGTTACGACAACTCACTATTGGTTGGGCCAGGATTGGGCTGAAAGTGGCCTAAAAAAAAATCCAATTCTGATTGGTTCTCGCTCATGGAGGCCGAAACGAGTGCACCAAGATGGCGGTACCTCGTATGTGAACAAGAACAATGAAAATATTACCTAATTGTGGTTTATCAAGAGTAAATTGTTATTTCCATCGGTCCAAAATGAAAATAGATTAAGAAATTATTCACAAACCAATCTCATTTTCTTTTTAATTGATCAATTTGTTGATGTTGTTTTTGTGTGACAGACATCGCAGGACTCCTGATCCTTACCCCTCAATATCGTTCGTTTGGGTGCACTCGTTTCGGCCTCCATGGCCAGCCAAGGCCGGCTGTCAGTCAGCTGATAATCGAGTTGTCGTAACTNATGCGATATATCGCATGCTCTTCTGACACAAAATATGGCTTCCATCGAATCGCCGTAACATTCATAGTTTGTGTCGACGAACCTTGGAGGTCGGCGGATTCCGTCTGCGCGTCCATCAGCTGAGCTTTCAGTCCAGCGGTGAGTATTCTCGATTCCTCCAACTGGCGCTCGAAGTCCTCTCCGCTTTGCTGCCACCCTGATAACTTCGAGTTGATAGCTAGCACCTCGTCTCGCGACTCCGACAACTGCCTCTTCAGACCCTCAACTTCCTCCTTCTTCTGCGACAGCTGCCTTTTGAGCAACTCCGCCTCATTCGTCGACTGCCTGTGTCCGGTCACTAGACTGGCAATCCTGCTGAAAAATGATTTTTGAATCTTGTCAGCACTGTTTTTCTCCTCCTCTAGTAGTTTCTTCAATTCCGCGGCCGCTGTTGTAGCCTCCGATAGCTGTTTCTGGATCCCTTCGGCTTCATCTTTCGATTCTGTCAAACTTGTGGACAGTTTCCCGATTTCTTTCGTTGCCGCCGCGAGCTTATTCCGCAGATCATCGGCCTCTCTTGTGGATTTCTTCAATTCCTGGTCGATTTCCTCTCGTTCTTGAGATTTTTGCCTCTTGAGGGCTTCAGCTCTCTCTTGCAGCTGATAGTACGTCAGGAATTCGACAGGTTCTATTCCTTTCTTCTCAGCCCGGTTCCTAAGTGAATCGCGAGCACTCTTCAGATACCCAAGGCTGTTGACGCACCCGAATTCGAACCTCATCTGAAAATGGACCAGAGTAGCATGAAACGTAAGAAAGAAATGAAAGATTGGAAGTTCCAGTGAAATATTTCATGAAATTTCAAGAGGCTGTGTAATATTTCATATTTTTCAGGGGATAGAGTATGCAACCCAGGGCCGGATTTACCTACTTGCCGCCCATGGGCCGCCTGTATTTTGCCGCCGCCTTCTCATTCGTTTTGAAACATAAATAAAAACCATCAATTGAACGTGTCAGCGGGGGTGGGGTGCATAAGATGCGTTTACTCGTGTTGGAAACATTATTTGGGAAAGCCCTGTCAACACTACTAGCAAAAATTCACCGAACTTTGCGCAAACGTTAAGTTTCGTAAACCTATCTCTGCGTGGACAAGGCTTTCCACTCATAAAAAATGAACGGAAAAATTATGAAAGAACAAACAAAAATGTGGTTTAATGATTTTAACTTTTGCCGCCGCGCCATGCAGACCGCACCGTGTTTGGATGCATTGCAATGCATGAAGTATTCCGACAGTTTTGTAGGCGCTATGAGTTTCACGCCGACGACCGCTGCTGAAGGCACTGTATTTGACGCAATGCGTGGAGTATTCATGCAGTCTTGTAGGCACTATGCGTTTCACGCTGACCGCACTGTGTTTGGCGCAATGCGTGAAGTATTCATGCATTCTTGTAGGCGCTATCCGTTTCCGCAGTAACCGCACTGTGTTTGATGCAATGCGTGAAGTATTCGTGCAGTCTTGTAGGAATGTAGGCTAGAATATGTGTCACACGCCGACCGCCGCGCCGAGGGCTTCTCCTTTTCATCTCAAGTCCTCGTCATCATTTCTCTCTCAGTCGCGCCGTTCCTGGCCAAATTGCGTGTTTGGTCTCTCTCTTAACTCGATTAATTAAAGGTGCTGTCTCTTGTATCACCGAAAGACGACAAAATCAGAAATTACTCTACTCTCAGGAAATGAGAGATTTTATTTGTAATTTTTTTTCTAAATCCGATTTTTTTATACCTGCATTTAAAAAAATTGCAAAATTTGCAAAATTGCGGAGAATTAAGTGATCTCTCTCATCGGCATCATATTACTGTTTTAGAGGCTAGACAAACAGGGTCACGGCCCTAGTCAGAAGGCAGAAGAAGAAGAAGCAAAATTTGCCGCCTCCTAGATTTGCCGCCATGGGCCGCGGCCCATGTGCCCCCCCCCCCTTAATCCGGCCCCCACCCATTGCAACCCGCAATAAAACACCCAAAAAAGAGAAAGTCACAATTTTTACATTTTGCGACAACATGCAAAGGAACCGGTATTTTTCAGTGGCTTTCATAAATTTCTGAAATTTCATGAAATATTTCACGTGAAATTTCAAGATTTTATTTTTCATAAAATTTTACCACCCGGAAATGGGCTAATGTGTTTTAACGACCTGCGAGCCAATAATTCGTCATTTCCCTCCGTAGAAAAAACAAGAGCAGATAACAAATTTTCAGATGAAATTTGGGCGATTTTTACACAAGACAAGAAAAATTATTGAAATTTTCAGTAATAAATTCGCAAGATTCGCCTGAAAAATGCAGTCTGCATGAGGAAATTTGGCAACGTTGAAACGTAGTTACGTTCTTTCGTGAGAGAAAAAAAGAACACATTGGATCTAGAGTCCAGACTCTTAAAAACATCGACAAGAAAAAGTACTCTTGATTCAATCAGAATCTAGCTTAAATCAAGAACCAAGCCTCTTAATTTAAGCGGATTTCGTTTTGATTCAAGGAAAAATCCGATTCCGGCCGCGTGGCACCCCCTGCTTTTACGAGTCGTCTCTGATTGGCTGATCCGCCCACTGTCCACTTTCTGGAGCCCTTATAGGAAATAACCCGGGGCGGTTCATTTTTCATGGGAAATATCTCGAAAACTAGGAACAATTTATGCGTCGGAGATTTCAAAAGTCAATTCTCCAGATTTTTCTAACGAGATTTATGGGTAATACACGACATTCTTTTCTCGAAACACCGAACAGTTCGACTTGGAATTTTGTTTTTTAAACTTCACATATGACGCGTGTCATGAAAAAACAATTCAACAATTTTTTTTTTTTTACTACTTCAAGTAGCCCACAAGGGCTAATACCGCGCTTCAGTCCCGTCCCATTTGACAACCTTTGTTTGAGACCATAAAACTCGGGTCGCCTGGTCGGGAATCGAACCCGGGACCTCCCTATCATAGAGCTAGCACTATACTCACTACACCATAGGAGGCCGAAATTCTAGGATGAGCTGTTTAATGTGCTTGA